AGGACGAACGTACCGTAAATACCGAGTAAAACGAACGTGCTCTTAAGAGGCTTGGCAGCAGAGGTGGTTGGTAGGGGGGGGGGGGCGCCTACTACTACTACTACTACTACTACTACTCCTTCTCCTCCTTCTACTTCTACTTCTTCTACTACTACTACTACTACTACTACCACTACTACGGCGGCTGCGACTGCGACTGCGACTGCGACTGCGACTCCGACTGCGACTCCGACTGCGCCTACGACTACGACTACCACTACTACTTCTGCTGCTACTGCTCCTGCTCCTGCTCCTGTTCCAGCTTTTGCGCATTGGTCCCATCGCAGACTGAACTCTCACTGAGACGCCCACACGGCTGCACCAAAGCTGTGCGAGGCGTCTGAGCTGTCATCCGCGATGCGGAAGCGCGCCTGCGACGCCGACACGACATGACATGACCGGCACTTGCCGCATGGCTCTGCTGCCACCTTGACTTCGTGCTGCAGGCCGAAGAGTGCCGCATAGCCGGAGAAGCACGGGAGCACCACCAGAAGGGCTTCCCAGTGCACTTTCGCCTGCAAGGCGTTGCAAGGCTTAGCAGCCCTGCCATGCGCTGCCCCGGAGGACGCTTGGAGCTGCACCAGTACATCTCGATCTCCAGCCTTCGACAGGCGCTCTCTACGCTCTGCATCGCTCTGCATCGCTATGCCGCTCTCGTGAACAGGCTGTTCAGAGCTCTCTCGGCTCGCAGGGCCTCTTGCTGGGCCTCAGCGTGTTGCAGGAGTCGCTCCTGGAGGCTGCAGGGGATCGCCTCGTCCAAAACAAGTGCCACATTTTGGGGCTTTGGGGCTTTTGAAGCGGTGCCTCGGAAGACTCCCCTGCAGGATACGGACCTTAGCAAAGTCTTGAACCCTCCGATGCCCTCTGCCGCGAAGCCCTTCGGGCTGCTGGCAGTCGCTCGCTGTACTGGAACGGCCTCTGCAGGACTCTCCATCGAGCTTCGCACAGGTTCGGTCGGAGCGTGCTTGAGCGCAACGCATGACTTTGGCGGCTCAGTGCTAGGTGTTACGTTCCACAGGCTGCACCTGCACGGAATTCACCGCACTAGAAAAGCCTGGCAGCACTTCACCCCTGCGCCTCTTCTCGGGAGTCACGGCGAAAGGCAACCCGGGTCCCAGCATTATTGCAGTTTTTCCCAAGCTGGTGCTCTGATACTTCCACCTTGCTGAGAGTGTATGTGGGAGCGGTCTGTAATGCTGCCTTCTCTAGGCACGTCGGTCCATGATTCGCTGCTCTGTCACGTGCAAGTTGTGCGTAAAGTCGTCCATCCCCTGTCTTAGTTAACAGCTAAGCGCCATAGCGCTTGGGCACGGGCACGGACATCGAGCGCACGAATGGAAAAACAGAGCGATACATCCACGTACGGGGCCCCAATCACCAGAATTCTCAAGTCCTGGTGGCCAGCTTCTTCGCCAGCCTTTCAGGCACACTGCACAAAGGTTCAGCGAAAAATGCTCATGCGTCTAAGCGGCCGTGTGATCCTCCTTCGGTTTCAGTCTCACCTTGTGTCAGACGATGGCTGCATCATGTTCCCTCTCCATCTACTGCCCTCTTAATCTACTGGTCCATTGCTGGCCCAGCATGCATGCTGTCTCCTGAGAGGCAGCTTTTTTGCCGTGCCTGGCCTGAGCAGCTCCGGGCCCAAGGAAGTGCATCATCTTCAGCTGACTGCGCGAGATTTGGCCACGGGAAGCCCGCATTATGCCGAGAAAGACCGACACGGACGTGTATGGTTAGCTGCAAGTGCGTGCCTTCGCCTCCATGTGGAGTAAAAGCTTGCCAGAATGTAGTCCTCTGTGGGCTGGGGCTCCACATCCTGCAATTAGGCAGGTAGTGCTTGTGGCACAAAGCTGCGACCCTGCCTCTGAAGGTGGGAACGAAAGGCTCACCAGGCCAGGTGTTCTCGCATCCACTACCTGCAGAGGCCAAAGGCAGGCCAGTGGCTCCCTCGGTTCGGTCTGTTCGGCCTTTCCCAAGGCATCTTCACAGTAGGGCTGGAGCAAAGCTGCCATCGTCGACCTGGCATATCCACGTTCGCAGTCAACGCCATGCTGGACTATGCTCGGCTGCTGGCACAAACTCATCGCTTTCCTTCAGAATCTTGTCCTGTACAGATGAACGGGTAGAGTAAAGCAACATGCAATGCAACGGTAGAGGCTTCAAGGCCCGTCTGTGGGTGCATTTTTTTTGCACTTGCCGGCTGAGGTTGCGGGGGCGAGGTCTGCACGGCTTCGTAAACCTCGAAAATTTCCACCATCTGCCGCTAGAGGGTTGGACAAAGCAGCGATTTGTCAGGCGCCGACTTTCACGGGGACCCAGGCATCCAGCGCCGCATAGTGCATCCGCGCCTCAAGGGCGTGGGTGGGCCAGGCGAGTCCCTCAACAGCGGGGAGTCAGTGTTCGGTGACCACGACAGGAAAAGCCTTCCGAGCTCAGGATACTTGTCACAGCTGTGGCCCATGCTATCAACAGGTTGCTTGCTCATGTTAGAGCTTCCGAGGCATCTTGCAACTTTCCAAAGAGAACCCCTGGATTCCTTGATCTGATCTTTTGGTCCATGCACAGAACCCCGCGCAGCAGCAATAGCTGTCGCAGCGGAAGTGGCAACAGCTATAGTAATCCTATCAATAGAAGTTTTGAGCCAGCAACAGCAATTACTAGTGGCAACTTTAATTGCAATCGCAATGGCACTGCCAATACAAAGAGTGATGGTAAGCCAATAATACTCGACAGAATATACTCGACCATTTCTCCTTCTGCTCGGATTTCCGCGCCCTTCCGCGTGCCGAAAGCTTCCCGGCACTGCATATTGACAGAATGCGTCCCTGGACAAGGATGACAGAAGGGGGTCTTCGACATAGCGCAATGCCCAGATACAGGAAGCACCCTCTGCCACAGGATCGCGAGAGTCACCGCTTGGTCTCCGGCCTGGGAGAGGGGACGGTGGCTCCAGTCTCCCACCTGGACAAGCGAGTTGCATGGATTTTGCCTCCAGCGCCAGGCATGCTGACCTGGAAGGCTTTGTCCAGGGGCTTGCCCAAGTACTTCTCTGCCTCACAGCTGGCACAGCTGCTGCTCCACCGGCTGAGGCTCTCTGAGGCTCTCTGAGGCTCGGGCAAGAGCAGAGAGGCTGATCCCTTCTCGAGCTCTCTTCTTTCCGATGCCGGACCTCCGCTCACAGTCGCAGAGATCACGGCCCACGACGCCCACGACGGAGACGACGGTCTCTTGGCCGCAGGCTCAAGGGATCTGAGTTGCGCCTCTTACTGAGACTGAGATTGCTCAATGCTGAGAGAACAAACGACGCCCGGAAGGGCCTCGACATCCCTCAAGTCACTCAGCGGGGCTGCACAAGCTGCAGCCGTAAGGGACGGGAAGCTCTTGGAGAGTTTGCCTACAAGGCTCACCGTTCCCACATGTCTCCACATGTCTGCCGAATGCACCAGGGCTTTCCCTCTGGCCTAAGTCTTCTGCAATTCCGAAGCCGACTTTTCTCGCGGGGCCGGAGCAAACGTCCTTGCCGACAAGGTTCCGACCCTGCCCTCCGAGCACTCCGATATACTCCGATCTCGGTGCGACCGACAAGTACAAGGACATGACGAGGACCCCCTTTTATAACAGCTCCCCTAAATAATTAAAGATGGCGTTCGTCAACATTTGCCGGGAATGCCAAAGACTATTTTCAAATAGGCAAGCTAACAGTGCTTCTTCGGCGTGGTACGGGGTACCTGTACCGTTATGCCGTCTGACTGCTTGCTTCAGCTTTATCTTCCAAGCTGTCTTAAAGTGTCCTGGGAGCTCAGGGTCCCCCCCAATCCCCACCAGGCTTTTTCAGCGGGGCGGTGTTACGGGAGCAGCCCGGTTCATGTTGCAAATCCGTGCCGGGTTCCTGCTACACTCCACTGTTACGGACGGTCAGTTCGCGCCGCTTGGGAACTGCATGCTCCAACCACAGGATCGAGACTTCATCTTGGAGTATTGAGTGCTGGTTTGTGTTTAATGCATCAGACAAAGCTTGCCTGCATCAAAACCACAACACCTGCATAACAAATGTATCATGAGCTGAGCAGCATTCAAAAGCTTCTCGGAGTGTTACGACCCAGGTCCGCAAAAGAAGGAGAGTGAAGCCGTGAAACGGTCCCAGAACTGCACTTCGTCTCTTCAAGTCCTGCATTGTCGTCGCGAAACTCGGCCAACTCCCCACAACCTGGAGATCAACCTGGAGACAAGGAAGGACAAGGCCAGAGCCTTAAGATCCCTTAAGTCCGGTGTCCCGTCCGAGATGCCAGGAAGGCTTGACGGAGAGTGGCAAGCTGAAGGAGGGTGGGCCTCGGAATTGCAAACCGACGGACGCGGCAAGATGCAAAGGCGACCTGGGATCGGGACGCGCCCGTACCCATGTTGCACTCCTATGCAGGGACAGTGTCGGAATGGCTCAGACCGAAAACTTCATTGACGAGGCGAATGTCCAGGTCTACACCGATGACGCTTGCATCCAGGAGGATGCCTCGCATGCCCTCGATGCTGGCCTGTTTGGGATCGGTTTCTGTAGCAGTTTTTGCGAGCCAAGGCCTCAAGAGTGTTCGGCCTCCGTAGCGACCAGTTGAACGTCGACATCTGGGGGAAGGCGGAGGTAGGGCACCTCCGCCCGGAAACATGACACTGCACCAAAGCAGCTGCGAAAAAGCGGCCTCTGCTTTCGCCCTCTCTGCGTTGGCTTTCCGCACATCTTCAGGAATGCCAACAGCCCAGGCATCCGCCAAGTCAACTGCCAGCTCCACCTGCGCTGCAGGTGCGGGCCGTGTTTTTGCATAACGACCACTTCCCCCGAACCTTCCTAAACCCTGGCCAAGGAACCATGCCTCTCAGAGAATTCCCAAGAACTATTGTTGACAATCACTAGATACTCGACCCATGCAGGGCGTGACGAAGCGTTAACACCCATGCGACTGGTAACAGCTTGCAGCTGCGGGCCTCGCCACACTGCAGAAGGCCGTCCACACATCTGCCGCGCAGCCGCACCTCCTGACAGGTCGAAAATCACTCACGAACGCTCACACGGCGTGAAGAGCGGTTGCCTCGCATCCCAGTCCAACCACCGCTTCTCGTCGCCCTCAAGCACTGCTCACTGTCTCATTCGAGGGCCGTGCGGTCTGCGAACACGACGCCTTTCTCGATGGCAGCCTCGAGAGCCTTCGCCCAAACCCAAGGGAAAACAAGAACCCGGAAGAGTTGAGTGCCTCTTGCCGCCAGAGATACCCCGCGTCGGGAAATTGGTCCTGAAGCTGTAAGACCTGATCCCAAAAAAATCCGACACCAGCAAGGCGGTCGCAGTTGCATGCAAGGTCGTGTGCTGTCGCCTCTACGGCCTTCGCCGCTGCTTTCACGCGGCCACGCTCCTGCCAGGCAGCTCGATTACGCAGTTCGCGAGCGAATGTTGCCAGTTCAGCCTGGGTTCCCTTACTGAGCCTTACTATTACTGTCGTGGCGTAGCTGCAGGCTGCAGATACTGCAAAACAACACGCTACTGCCGGTTCGTCTGCCACTGCCGCTGTGGCTCCTACCACTGCCACCGCACTTAGGCCGGGCAACAGCCTTGGTTTCATATAGGTGCCCAGACCTTACTTCCAGGACACATCATTCTAAAATCTAGATAGCGACGATGAGCGTAAGCGGCTCAGGTTACACGACCCCCCTCCACAGCAACTGATGCGAAGGTTGCCATGAACCCTACATTCCCTGAACCATTTCAGTCCCCAAGCTGTGAACTATAAACAACAAGCCAGCCACAGCATGTGCCCTTACGATTACCACTACTTGCCGTGCCGTCCTGTCGAAGTTGAACCAGGAAGCGCTGACATTCGACACCGAGGCCTCAGTCGTCGACGGAAATCGCAAGACTCGTGTGGAGCATTCGATTCCGTACTATCTGAGACACCCGAATCTAATCCAATATCCGCCGGGTGACTCTTTGCCATTTGAAGAACCGCATCATCACGGCTCCCATCATCGGCCTCTTTGATGACAGCGTTGGACATCTGGCGCACGGCGATGCACGACTCATTGACATGAGGTGTCAGCTCGCCGTGCAGCCTGCCTCGCTGGTCAGCAAGTCCGGGAACGAGCCGAGGGTGACGGCTGCCAAGGCCTGAGTGGAAAATCTGCTCAGCAGAGCCCATGCATGTCCCAACTGGGAGCCTCGCCCATGCGCCTGGCAGCACGGAATCCCTCACCACAGCCTGCGCGATGGCTGCATGCGCCTCAGGCCGCGAGTTGGTAGTCGAGTTGGTTCGCATCCTCAGACTGTCAAGGAGACCTCCTCGCTCAGCTGCTCTGCTCGGATTGCCCAAGCCTCTCGGCAGATGGATATGAAGAAAAACGAATCATCTTGGTAACGGAGTGTAACGGAGGCAGTGACGTTCATCACCCGCGTCAGAAGCTTCAAGCCACCCATCGAAGAGCTGAGCTCGCCTGGACTGGAGAGAATGCCCGTAAAGGCAGTGGCATCAATGTACAGACATTCGCTGATCCATCTCACCTCCGGATGGAGCAGTCGCAAGCTTCACCAGCAACCTAAGCTTTCGCGGCAAATCCAGTTTTTAGTATATGTAGCGGTTGCATCCTCTTTCCTTGCGACGAAACGCTTTCAAGAGCACCTCAGACAGATCATGACAGATCCTTGGTTCTCGGCGCCTGCACGCCGGCGGAAGGGACGTCAACTGTTCCTGGTGACACCAGCACCAGCACTCTCTTCTGACATCTTCCGGTGCCCCATGAGGAGGACTAGGAGAGTCTAGCAGCGGCCTAGCTGCCCGGCCTCGACCCAGATCTGCAAAGAGTGCAGCAGCTTGCGGCCGCCAGGGCTCAGCCTTGCGATGATGAAGACTTAGTCCTAAGCTTCGTTCTTTTGCTGAAACCCAGAAATCCTGGTAGCCCGGCCAATCGGACTTTTTTTGTCTCATTGCTGTCACAGCAAGTTGCTGTGCCCTTGCTCCAGCCTTACCTGTTGCACACCGAATTGCTGATCGAGGAGAATCTCAGCAAGCCACAAGTTCACCAATGGGAACTGCCGCCTGCAAAAGACTATTCAAGTGGATTGGCATGGACAAGACCAAGGCGCAGTCTGCCTTTGCAGCTAGCGCTATGGATGCCATCACGAGAATATTAAAGCTTTTGGAAGGACTAGCTGGACCTCGCAGCAAAACGCCGGCCCCTGCTTGGCTGATGAGCCGGAAAGAGTTCCGCTTGGGACAGAAATTGGACGTCGGAGCTAGCACAAATAGACCAGGTGGTACATCCATCAACTCTGAAAGGACCGTCCGAAGCGGTCAGAAGGGGCAGCACTTCTTGGCGGGCTTCTTCGTCGACCTTCCCGGCGACTCAGCCGGCTTCGCCGGTGCCTGACTCGCCTGGTTTGGCCCGCTCGGCTTTGTGACGGGTTCCTGCACGCCTGTGTGGCAAGGGCGACGGCATCTGACATTCGGCTGATGTTCGACAGCAACCAGAAAACTCTCCCGTTTGACCTTTAGGACCACTAGCCTCCGAACCTTGCCGCAAGTAAACACAGACGTCCTGGCTCCGAGCTCTCTCGTGGTTGGCAGGGGGTCAGGCGGAGAGCCTGCTGGGAGAGCTGCGACAGGTTCAGCTTTGGGGCTGCGTCCAGGGGAAGACTGGCCAACCTGGCACGGAGAACCAAATCGGTCAGGAGTGTCAGATGCCACTGCTGCCTCTTCTGGGCCCTCCTCCGGAATAGTCTCCCTTAGCTCCATTTTTGGCTCGACTCCACAACACATGGCTGGCAAAGGCCCCCCAAGCTCCCCGCAGCGTGCCATTCGCGTTCAAGGACACGGCGTGATCAATCCTGCGGGAGGGCTGTGGGGCAGAGAGCCCGACAAGGCATTACGACGAGGCCTCAGCTCGTCTTGAAGATCCGCACTCGCATGGCAACAGTTGCTCAGCGAGAAGGAATCTGCAGGCTGGGGGATTATACTGCATTGAAAAGGACCCCTCCTCAATGCAAAGAGACTGTGGCCTGCCGTCGCCATCTCCGTGCCCAGGACGAGCTCGGCCTCAGCGGGGGGGGGGGGACGGGAGCTGATCCGGACTCGAAGTCGCCGCTCCGACGTGCCTCGACGAAGGGGCCGCTGAGCATCCTCGAAGGGTCCTGCGGGGAGTTGACTCCGCGAAAAAATGGGCTTTGCCTTGCAGGGCGGTGCTCAGGCCACGGCCAGCTGCAGCCGCACGACCTCTCTCCATGGAGATGGCGAGAGGCCGGAAGAAACGCGCTTCTGAAGGCTTGGCTCCAGGCGCCACAGTTGGGCAGCTTGGACTTGCTCAGCTGTTCTCCGACTACCGACTTCCTGACACATTCTGACAGAGGTCCGCCTCCCCCCAAGCCCGTCAGTTCAACATGCATGGGCCTGACGTCGTCCGACATAAACTCACGCATGAGCTGCTGGAAGAAGAGGGAATGCCCGAATATCACCAAAGACTCCTGAGACCTTGGCGGTTCTGTGCAATGTGACTCCACACTTCCCCCTGTAGATTTTCATTCTGGAGAGCAGAAGGACCCTCCATGGCTCCAGAATTTCAAAGGACTGGTCTCCGCCAAGCAAAGCTATGGTCCAACCGTCCCGATCTTTCAAAATTGGAACTTGTGAGCCGAGCACCCAGCGAGAAGAGAAGCTGGTACATAAACTCCCGCATGCGGGCCTCTTCGAAATCGGACACGGCACAGCCGCGTCTGACATGTCCTAGTGATTCTCTTACCTCCTGTACGATCACACGATCCACACTTTCAGCGCAGTGGAGCCTTCAACTGCCCCGTGGACTCCGCTTGGCCTTCTGGCCACCATCTTTCCTGCACCTGTCACGCGTTACAGGCCTGGAACAGTGAATAGGCCAAGACCTGGCCAGTCTGGTTAGTCACTTTCAGGTGGAAACGAGCCCACCTCCTCCACATCGAAGCGCAGCTTTCGGAAGGCGTCTACAATGAACTTATCCTACAGGGCCGTCGGTCCGGGAAAAAGCTGAGCCATTCGGCACCGCCGCGCTTGCCTTCTCAAGCCCTGAGTACAGAGCTCGCAGCCTTGGCTTTGGAGTCAGTCAGCAGCGGGCCAAAACATGAGTTCTCCGCAACTGTCTTTTGGCCCCTTCAATACGAGTGGTCCCCATAGTAATCGCGCTGGTGACTTGCGCGAAATGTCCTTGTGGACCCTTCCTGATGCTGCCTCTGAGACCAGGGCTCCTCTTGGCTTGACTGCAGAATGTCCTCCATGTCGTGTGGGAGCAAGCAGGAGCGAGAGGACAGGCGCTCGACAGCGCCTCACCCAGCTTCGTGCAGACTGTATCCAGGCCACCGAAGTTCTGCTTTTCCTCCGGCAGCACCGCGGCACGGCACGAAGCTCGGCTTTACGTAAGCCAAACGAGCCGTCCTTGCAGTTTGGAGCCAGCACTAGCCTGAAGCTCAGCGGCCCAGCTATGCCCAGCTCCGCGGCTCCCTACTGTATGACTCGCTCTGGGGGTGGAGCTCATTCCGGCCTAGTCCCGCCTGCCCAGTGTGGTTGTCGAAACACGGTCTCTTGCGGAAGGTGTCACGAGCCTTTTCGACAAGGGGGCCGTAGGCGATGATGGCGGTTTGCAAAGCTCGGCCAAGGGGTGAGGCCTTGTCCATGAGCCGAGCAACGGCAAAAAAGACGCGCGAAGACCCTAAGCTGAGGACCAAGCCAAAATCAACCCTGGCTGCAGCATCGGAGCTACTCTTGGGTCCGCCTCGTCTGAACCAGCCTGGCGCCACAAAAACTTTGCTGCATCCCGCGCTGCCTGACCCCCCCGGCTCGTCCTTGTCAAGCTCCATCTGCAAGAGATGTCTCAGCGCCTCTGCCTGGCAGAGCCGCTGTGTTATGGACAGGTGACAGGAGAGAGAAAGTATACTTGCAGACTGCTTGCAGAACTGAGGTCGGGCCCAAAGACACAAAGCTGAGGAAATGCACGTAAAATTTATCGGTGAGAGTTAGCCTGATTACTGAGCAGACGACGAAGACGGTGTGAGTCTAAACACTTGTAGTCATGCCTCGATGGCAGTTTGCTTACAGCTATGGATTGTCCCGAATCAGACATGGGAGCAGAGCAGGGTGGCGAGATGCAGTACCTTTCAAGACAGTCAGGACTTGAGGCCCAGCGCTGAAGGTACGAACTAGGATTTTTCGGCTCGAGTGGTGACTGCTGACTTTGGGCATGACAGCTCTCTGAACATAAATTCCGAAGTAGCATGGTTCCTGAGAGCATCGGCATGTCACATCTCCTACGCTCGAAGCATGCCGGGAAGCACACAACAACACAACACAGCCGGGGGAGGCCGGGGCGCCTGATCGCGGCCCTTGGCGGATAGAGGATGGTCTGTGGTGCGCACCATCCCGTGTAAGTTCAGGCTCCCCTGCGCCTGCCAGTTCGAGCGTGGAGAGCCGAGTCTGAGCAGCCCTTACGGCAGCCTTGTTCCATTCGCTCTCACCATGTCGAATCAAATACCTTAGGACAGGGCTCTCGCTGCCCTCCCTGTGCTGTCTCCCTTTGTTGACGCACAAAGCTCCTCCGAGGGGTGGGCACAGACTTGGGTCTCAAAACTGCCTAAGCAAGGAGTGACAGCTTTAGTGTAAAGCAAGACAACTGTGTAGAAGTGCCTTGTGTGCATTCGGAGTCTTGGGGTACGGCTTGGCAGTCGAGAATCTGAAAGACCACGGAGGACTTCTGCACTCCTGCTTGGCTCAGGGCTTGGGTTTGGCTTCTTCGAGAGTTTGTAACCCCGCAGGTCCTGGCCGCACGTCGGCGGCAAGTTCTATTCTTTGGTGCACTTTCAAGTCCTTCAGACACAGGTCGAAGGAAACGGCTCTCGGAGATCCAGACATTCACGATGCCTTCATGTCCGTCTGGGCAGAACCAAGGACAGTGCTCCCGTCGCAAACCCTGGGTGTCGTCATCGCATTCACCACATAATTAAAAGGAAACCAAAAAAAGAACGGAGAGCTGTAACTCCCTTGGATGAAGTCTGAATGACATCGAGTGGCTCTATCCGCAAGGTTGCCGAAACCGCGGCGGCCTTACAAGGCGACACCGACGCCCTCTTCGCGCACTGCACGTGATCCTGAGGCTTGAGATGGCGACCATTCGCAAGCCCAGCTTTCGAGCAGAGAACCTTGGCTCGAGTCCAGTCAGGGTGCTCTACAGGGAGCTCTTGCTCTTACATGCTCTTACCCTTCAAGCACGCACGGCGGTGTCCAAAAAACTTGGGCAGTCCACCAGGATGGGTGGCTGCTTGGCCGGGAAGGCCACTCAGCAACCTGAGACGTGCACCAGTGCAAAATTTGGAGCATCGAGGTAACGTCCCGGCACCGCCTCTCCCAGGATCTTGCCACCGCTCTCGACCCACACCCGAACGTATGGCAGGCGGCTCGAAGCCTCAGAGTAAGAAATCCAAATTAGCAAACATCCAGAAGGAAGGGTTCAAGGATGCTCCAAGGCTCGAGCACAGGCGCGCATTGCATCATCAATACCAGGAACACTTACAACCTGCAATATAAGATGGCTCTCGTCGATGCTATAGCCTATATAGAACCTTTGTACAATATGTTCATGATGTTGCACAGATGCACAACTGAGAAACGAAAGCGTTCCCGAGCCGAACATGTCACATTGGACGAAGACCTGCAAGACCGATTTGGGACACCTGATCTGCAGTTAAAGCTGGACTTGCGCGTGATCTTTGGCCACGGCGGCCACGGCGCGGTGGCTGAGCGGCTACGTGCGCTCATTGCAGCATCGGCTTGCGTGGGCATCAGCCGCTGTTGTTGTTTGACATGTTTTGACATCTTTCTCCCTTCCTCCGGGTCCGGTGCCAAAGTCCCGAAGCATGAAATTTGCGGAACAGGTCATGAGTTGCGACCCCAATGGAGGGCATGACGCGCAGACGAACCGCGGCTGCCCTCCGTCAATGAAGGCCTGTTGCCCGACTGAACTGAGCGCCTTATTGCTCAAAGTACACCGAAGATGTCAAACAATGCCTGCTCCAGGAAGAAAGCGCACTCTTCAGCCGTAGATGCAGAAGATGCATAATCCAGCACCTCCCAGTTGCTTCGAACAAGTTCAGGCTGTACATGCACGCCTGAGCCTTGACGACTTTGCTAAGGCGACGGCTGTTGCTTTTCCCGGAACAGGTGGGAAGGTTCTGGCCTCTTCAGGGCTAGTTCGCACGGCTCTTCCAAGCTGACACTGGCGGCCTGGGATCGACAGACCAAGCTGCCAGCACCCTCCTCCTGGGATCAAAGGCTAGGCTCGGCTAGGCCCAAGCTCAGCGGAGTCTCTTCTCGCCTCCAGAAGCGTGTCCGCCCCGACATCAGTGCTGTGGCACTGGCCCATAGCCCCTGCGCTGAGAGCGACTCAGAGTGGCAAAGAGGAAGGCCGGAATGGGAAGGCCTGCTACAGGCCTTGCCCGCTGCTGGGGCCGCCAAACATGCACGTGGAGCAAAAGGAAAACGTCGTCAAACGCGGTAGCGAACAGAACTTTATGTTATAAATCATGCTTCCGATACCGATGCGAAGTAGCCCCTGCTTGTGAGTAGGACGCTACGATGCAGAAGCTAATGGAGCCACGTGGAGCCGTGCAAGGGACTGCCACGAAGCCGCAAGGCAATGACAATGCTCTCAACAAACAGCTCTCAGGTCTCAGCGCAGAGCAACTGGAGCCGAGACCAGCTTCACCAGACATCGCAAGGCAAACCTGGCTGATGAGGTCGACTTTGGAGAAAGGCTCGCGGACACCGGACAGACAGTGCCAGGAGCTCTCACCAAACGCACCTGCAGATTTGGCCTTAGAGATCGCCAAAGATGCTGCACCGAAAGCTTCCCGGAATAGCTGAGTCCCAGGCCTTTGCACTTTCTAAAACAACGCGTGCCTGAGAGCAGAAGCTCGGAAAGGATGCACTGCGGGAGCTTGCAAACAGCACCCAGATCCAAGGCCCATCTGCGGCACAAGCAAACACAGCAGCCCAAACCAAGTTCTGACATGTACGTCAATGTACGTGCTGCTCAGCAGTACCACCGCAGCACAGCCCTGAGTTTACAGCCTGGTTTAAGTACGAATGCAGACTCATTACAGACAGGGTTTGCGGAAAGAGCAGTAATTCTCTGACAAGTTGCACTCTGGAACCCGCCGGAGAGCGCCGTGCGGATTTCCTCTATGAAGCCGTCCTGCTCAGAAGTTCTTCACAGGTTGGGCTGCAGATCATCGACCCCGTCTAGCATAAGCAATGGCACAGGCTCACATCATGTGCCATAGTATCCACCTCATCATCTCCGTCACATGCCTGCAGGACTGAACGCTCGAGTCAGGCATAGTCACGAGTCCGAGCCCACTGAATACCTACCCACACATACCTACTTTGACAAGAAGAGGGGCAACATTCAAAAGCGGTGACAACTGTACATAACTGTACAATACAACATGCAGCCTGGCCCTCCTTACTATCCGCGGAGTCAGTAGTCTTTTTGTGTGCACACTCCAGTCTCGAGATTATTACTTCGCCAAGCTACTTGCACGAGCGTTTGCACTGAAGCCAGCTCCATTGCCATTGTCTCACTGAAATGTTCAGCATGTGGTAGGCGGCCTGCATATTATGAGAGCTCTCGAGGCCAAACTAATGCCTTTGTTGCAAGCTTTGCCAAATCCGAGCATCAGCTTGCTCGCCCGATGCTCCAGTATGCGCAGTCTCTCTACCGCCAGAACCGCCAGAAGCTGCTAATAAAATCTACGAATCTAAGCCTGCACAAAGCTGTGAACCCACTCATCGTCGTTCGGTGCTTGGTAAGCTCCGCTGCAGCCACAACGCTATGGGCACCGACACAGGGCTATCATGCAGAGCTTTCATCCAGAGCACAAGGGAAAACACCGCATCCTGCAACGAGTTCCGATCGCTTGGGTCCATCCAGGCAACACGCGCCCTGCGGAAAGAGAGCTCGCAGCGTCTGCGAGGCGCTGTGGCACCGAACCCGGCCCTGGCACCTGGCACCTTCACCGAGGTAGCCCTCCTCCACCTCTTCCGGAAGCCGATCGAGCTTCCCAGACCTGGCACAGCCGCACTCGCGTCTTCTCCCTTTTCGGATGGGTTTCTTAAACTCAGAGGCTTACTGGGCCAAGCTCTTCACGTACTCAAATGCCTGCTCCACTTCCTGCGTGGAGCATGGCAATGACGCCGAACGGCTCAACGAAGCGACCTCTTGACCTCTTGGCTTCGGGTCCTGCTGCGGTTGGCACATCTTTAAGACCTCAGAGAGAAAATGCGCTCTGATCCGAAGATGTCAGATGCAGGGCCAGCGACTGAACTGGGACGCGCACGCAAAAACCCTTCTCTACCAGGCACGTAGCAACCTGCGACACTCGGTGTGGTGCCATTAAGGAAGAGAATCGTTGGCCTTCATCGTAGGCACTACTAGAAGTGTTAGAAGTCCTAGGAACTGCAGCGTAAATGTGTCATCCACGGGAAGACTCGGCTCTGCTTTGCCTCTTCTGCCAAGAAGTCCTGTCGATGCCTGCAACTGCTGCTAGATTTTAAATCGCAGGAGTATCCAACGGAGACCGCTTAAGGCAAAGACTAAGACTAGGAAGAGCACGGTGTTGCGGAACTGCCTCGCCTCGGGCCCAGCAGCACATCGAAGCCTGCAGAGCCGTGTCCAGGTCTTCGGCCTCGCTGTTGCTGTGCTTAGCAAATCGCTTTTGCCACACATAGGAGCTGGACCTTCGCTCTGCCTCATCTGATCCGGCCGTGCCTAGTTGACCCGATGATTGCAACTCATTGTGACGGCTTAGCACGGCATGCCTACTTGCAGGCTTCGGCATAAAGACACGACGTAATCTTCCACCTTAACTGGTGGCATGCGGACCTGGCGAGTGGAGCCATTGAGCAGGGCCACGTTGAAGACCCCATCCTCGAAGTCTGGAAGACTCCGAATCGAAAGCCTTTGGCAATCCCAACTTAATCGGTCTCCTTCTCGGAGAAAGCCACTACTTGGCCCAACCTTGCAAAGGGATCAGCGGACACTGCAACTGCACTCGCTGCCCAAGCCTGTCGTTGAAAGATGCACCATCAACCTCCATGCCAGTTTGCTGCTAGATGTGTGGTTAACTTTACACGCATGCACACGATACATGCCTCCACGACAGATCCAAGGCGAAATCCGTGAATCAATGCGCCTGGACCTAGGTTCACCAGTGCAGGGCCAGCCGAACTCGACTGCCTCGATGGAGCCATGCAAGCATGATGCTGGGCGAGCTGCTGTCGACAACCATGATGGCACAGGCTATCACTTGAAATCGACTAGGTGCATCCCATTTGGTGGCTATGCTGCACATCCGTTCAAAGAGGATCCGTCTATCTCTGGGTAGTTGGGCATCTGCTAATTAGTGGAACTTTGCTGTTGCTTAGAAACACGATGTGGGTCTTATTGCTAGTTCGGGAAATTGTTAGATGGAACCCGCATACCTCCGGATCGCATGATGTAATGCTTAGAACCATCAATGTCGCATCCGCTCAGAAAGAGACAACCCCACGGCACGGCCCAACAGTGCGGACTTGGAAGTGTCCTAATTCCAATCTCCTGTCGATCAGGCCATGTGGACTTCTTTTTGATCGATGAGCATTTGAAGCCCGCATTAGGGTGGCTGGCAGCACTACGTCCACGACAGGACTCAACAGCCCTCCCACTGCTGTGTGACTCGGACAGTCTACCCGAGCAGATGCACACAGTTCTGCCTCCAGCGACCCGCTTATGTTCAGCGGGCACGTGGCATGCGGCGATGATGACCCAAGCGCAGGCTTGCTGATGGCGTCCGTTGTTGAGCAGTCTCACGGCCCCAGATTCCCCAGATTACCACACAGATGAAGCTCTCACTGTTGCAGATGCTCTGAGCCCGCCAACGCTGGTCAGCCCTTCTGAGTGCAACGCCAGCACTGCGGGCCTTGCATAAAATCATGCTCTGGCACCGGGTTTCGTGAAATATCGTGAAATGCTGTCTCGGCAATTGAGGAGACGGCTCCGGTGCAGCGTCATCGTCGGAAAGAAGAGCGGATCGCGTTGGACAGCTCTGACTTGCTCCTGGCCACGACCATTCGAGAAACGAAGCTTGCTTCAGAAATAAGGGGCGCTTTGTCTCCTGTCCGTTCATGTCAAGCAGGAGGAGCCGCACCCACCCATGTGCAGGCCCATTCCTTCTCTGATGTGATTGTACAAAGCGCAAAGCCGCATGTAGCCATTTGCAGCCTTGCCTGTCGAGCTGGCCATGAAGAAGAACATCACCTTCTGAAATCACAGTCGCGCACACTACTGGAGAGGGTGTGCAGTGGGGCGGCTGAGCTGTCGTATGGGCTGGCCATCCATCTCCATAAGGAAGCAATACCTTGCGTCTTGAGGTTTCCGCACGCTTTGATCTAGGATCTCCTGGGTGTCCCACGGGGCAAACTCCCGGGACTCGGCCGGTGAGCCGTTCAGGATGCTTTGGACGAAGACGCCTCCTGCCCTAGGGGCAATACTTGCGCCACATCGCTCCAGAATGCACCTGGGAAGAGTCCGGTACCAGGCACAGCAGCAACTCAAGCAGCGCACACGGCACTGGCACTACAGAAAGCAGGGGAAAGCATGATCTGCCTTGGCGTCTTTCGAAGAACCATCCCTGCCCAGATAACCAAGTCGGCATCATCCTCGCGGGATGGCGTAACGTGCACTTCGGATCCAAAGCAATGAATACGCTCATACTGGACATCAGCGTGGAGATTTTGTCGAGGCAACGATTTGCTCCGTGCATCTTCATGCACCCGGTCTTTTGGAACTGCAATGCACATGTTCCAAAACGTGCAACTCGGGCTGCACGCTGTGTCGCCGGTCACTTTGGAAAGCAGCGTACCCGAGATTGATCCCTGGCCTTGGATACGCACGCATAATGCTGGCTGTACTAGGAGTGTTGCTTAATTCCGAGACATGCACACGGTCGGCGAAGGCATCGGCAAAGTCAACAACGATGTTGAATGGGCACCTGCCGTTAAGCACATCTTGACGCAAGTCTCAGCGCTCCAACTGGTGCTCGAGAACGCCGCTGGCCTCATATTCCTGCGGGTAAAGCACAAGGATGTTTGTCGATGCATCTCGTAGAATTTTCCTTCAGTCCAGCAGCAGATCGGCAAGCGAGCATGGGCTCACTTGTCTCCGAGGCAACTATCATCAGAACATTGCCCTGCCAAGCAGCTGGATCAACCGTACATGCCTGCAGAGCGTGCAACACTGTGTGAAGCAGAATCTTAGGTAGAATCCAGAAGGTGCTATGGAAAACGACTGGGTCATGCCATGCTTTCGAGGCACCATTCCCAGGCCGCCAGCCTTGACATATCCTGAACTCAAGATCTTCAAAAAATGACTTAAAGCATCACGCTTCTGTATGGAAGCTGAGGCACCGTTGTTGCAGTCAGGGCCACTTTTCACAACTCTTTGATCGCAGGTTGCGCCCACAAGATGCGCTCCTCTGCATTCCAGATAACCTGGATCCCAAGAATGCGACTCCACCTACGAAGCACTTCTGCTCAACGCGACTCGCGTCCGATGCGAGCAGGTGACAATTGGCCTCGGCTTGGCAGGTGCCAGAGCCTTCGGAATCTCCGCATTGTGAGAAGACGCCAGGTCCCAGCCCGGATTTGCAGTTGTGGTACACGTTCACGCAGGATCCTTTCGTGGCTCAGAGACGGGATTGGCAGGGAGACCGCGCCGTGCCCACCTTGACTGCAAGGGTCTTCAGATGTGCAGTTCATCATGGTTCCTGCCGTGGCGACTCAAGAACGAAAGCCTCGGCCTGATATGGTCTAGACTGCATGAGAGTTCAGCGCTTTTCCAGCATGACTGTGGAAAACCGCAGGTCCTAAGCACTTCAGGCTCGCAGATTGCCCCTGCACAGGCGCTGCAAGTGACCACAGAACCGTTTCGTGACTCGGCTTCTGTGGGAGAGCCTGGTTCAGTGCGAAGGCGAGTGCTGCCTTGAGAGCACAAAGGGCGAGCCGCACACCCACACCCAACTGCGAGACCCCGCGCGCGCACCTCCACCAGGTGATCGGTCGACCTGGGTCTGCGACGGAGAGTTTTATGCACTCTTCGCATCTCTTCGCTCTCTTCGGGCGCCTTTGCGCCGTGAGCTGTGTGCAGCCGAGAGACGTGGTACCATCCAAAGTTTCAGCCAAACCTGGCGAAGATGCCAAGCACACAGCTTGCAATTCTGCTGGGTGGGAGCCTTCATCCAGAAAACTTCCGTCGGCAGCAATGCCGAATTGCTTGCAGGTACTGAGGCTGAAGAGCAGAGACAGCACAGCCTCAGCTGGGATTATCGTGAGCCATGGCCAACACAGCACAACGGCATGACGCGCGCGCACTACTCCATACCGCCCTGTCGGCACCTCTTGTTGCTTCCTCGTCACGAAATGCAAACATGTCATCTCAGGCAACGGTGGCCCAGCTCAGCCATGTGGGCTTGAGCTGACGCTGCAAGACAAACGGCCAGAGGCTGTAGCAGCCGAGAGAAACAAGCATGGATGCTTTCAAGGAAGCTTGGCGCCACATTGCACGCTACAGTACCACAATATCGAACTCAAGCAGTGTCCTCAGAACCCAAAATGCTGGGCTTGACAGCCACCGTGGCCTGCGGCTGGCTCTCAGATGCGTGGTATAGCATGGCAGCAAAGGATGCACTGTTGCAAAAGCCTCCTTGCCATCACGAAGAAACGCGATCAAGACCTCCTCTAAACTGTTGCATGAAGCTCCGCGAGGCTTGTTTGGCAGCTGATGTGCATCGAAGTCCTCGGATCGCTCTCTCTTCCGGCTTGATGGCCTGTCCTTCTTTGGGATCAAGGCCTCCTTTCAGGTCTGGGCTTGCTACAAAGATGCAGGTCGTGCGATTGCACGTATTCGTCGCCTCGACATCCAGCGCTTGCGTTATGGTTCGGCCGGCAACGCTCAGAAGAACCTGCATTGCATTGCATTTTGCCAACTGCATCTCACGCATCACGTTGAAGACTTCTGTGTCCGAGGCTGAAACATCACCCGGAAGGAGCAAGCCGTTCGAGACACCGGTAGACAGGACGCGGCAAACGCAGATGGCTCTGGCCTCAGCACATTTAAAAAAGGCCCTTGAACGGCCAAGCTCGGAGCAGAGAGTCGCCGACCACTTGCCCCTGCTGGCCGCAGCGTTTCCGCACAGCCTGACAACAGCGACGCAGTGCGACGCGAGCACGGAATCACTGCCGTCAAACGCCGGGCAAACGGTGTCTCGCGGTCTAACATCGGGTTTTGCCTCGGCCCATGGCTTGGGCAGCTTGGGGGACCCACGGGCCAGTGTGGCCAAATCCACAGCCTTGGATGTCGCTGACTGCGCGCGCACCATACCAGCAGTTGCACTGAGCCAGCTGCAGACACCTCGATATCCAAAGATCTGACCTTCACAGCAGCACCCACTTCGGAGTGTAACTTAATACAATCCTAATTTGTTTAGGCATAGGTCGTTTTGGACAGAGACATTACTTCCTTACAGCCATAAGGAAGTTGACTCATTACTTGTTGCGGCTATAGCCGAACGAGCGGACCATGGCTATCGAAGGAATTCAACACTGCTCACGGTGAAAACAACTTCCAAAATCGACGTTCAAGGCGTGCCTCGGGTTCCTTGTTGGGGTTCTTCTTGATGCCCTGAGCAAGTGCAGGCTCAACTCCTCAAAGCTTCTACAAGTAGGAGGCGTACGGCATCGTCTGGTTGTACAAGTCCCGGACTTCCAGCAACGGCAAGAAAACGCTGGCCGGAATCCCAAAGTTGTCGGTCGTCTCCTGCGGGGACCATAGAAACTGAAAACAAGCAGCTTGCAGCTGATCCCCAGTTCCGGTCAACAGATTCCTCTGCCTCCCGTCTGGCGCTTTGGAAATCGAACGATGCGAAGAGTGCTCGCACCTCTCCGCCTTCAGCAGAGCACAGCGTGGAGAACGCATTGGAGCTGTGGCACGTGGCCAGTACAAAGGTGGCGGCGCGAGTCGCAGAGTACACCCCCTCTGGCATCTTCGGGTGTGTCCGAAAGGACAACGATCTGCATGGATGCAACCGTGTGAATTCTGCGGTCCACAGCAAAGATGCCCTCGATGCAACAGAGCATTGGCAAGGTTCTGTGTAGTGTTTGATCTGTCTCACATCCGCGTTGCTGCGAGGCGAACAGAAGTAAGAGTTAAATGAACCTCGCCACGCGGTCTCATCTGTGCCGTTGCGAGAAAGTATCGACATCGTGGTCTCGCAAAGCAGATGGTTGAACGTTTACGGCTGGGTGAAACTTTCGCAGA